AATACAGTATTTCATATGCCGGAGAGCTCCCTAAAAGTATATATCAGGCCAGGTGATGCGAATCGGCAGTTGGCAACACTGGTATGTAAGTGTGATTTTGCCAGTCCGCGGAGCTCCGAAAACCTACTGTAAGAGCGGCCAGGTAGTATCCGATATCTGAAATTGCTGTTTTAAGCTTTAACACTACAATATTAACTTTCCGATTCATCCGAGAGTAAAATAAAATTTAAAAAAAATAGAAAACAGGAAAAAACGCAAATAGACTTCCTAATAGTTGCTCTTGAGCGCCCGCCACTACTGTAAGTGTGTCACGGGCTGGGCTCAGGTAGGTAGAGGAACGGGGAACGCGTCGGGCAGAATACGATCTATTGCTACGGATAGGCACTGTAGGCAGGTCAGGCTCTATTGACAAGACGTCGCTCAAGAAGCTACGTTCTAGAGGTCCTCTATCTGATCTTCTAAAGTTCTGAGATAACGTATCGCCACGTGACCTACAGGGATCCGGTCTGGTCTTGCGCTGTGACAGGTTATTTGTAGTATATGACCGTTGGGCACCTTCATATAACGTAGTTGATAAGCAGAACTTATCGTGGGGTCGTTTTGCGGAGTAATTTCGGGAAATCGTATGTGATTACACAACTACCATCTGATAAGTGCCCGGCGCCGCGCACGCGAATATCTCGACGGTTAGGAGCCAAATCGATGCAATACCAGGGCTGGAGGACTGCTACGCTCTGGCGGTCCGTTTGGTTCAAGAGCGACGCTGTATAAACGAGCAGGCGCTGAGATATTTGCGTGTGCAGCGGCTAGGGGGCCAGGCTTCGCTGCAAGGACTACGACATAGCAATGCGCTACTCCTGCTACTCCTTAATATTCAAAAAAAAAAAAAGAAAAAAAAGAAAATTTAATAAAAAAAATACGCCTTCTAGATAGATAGATAGATACAGACTAGTTACCGCTATAAATATATAAAGATCCTACCTGACGGCCAGCTTACCGTCGACGAGGGGCGGTCCGCCTCCTCCCTAGCCGAGCCCAGCGCCCGCGATAGCCCTGGCCTCGAGTCGGCCTTAGTCCCGGGCCTGGGTCATCGGGCACGGGGGTCCCTACCTGTACCCATATCCGGCCCTGGCCCTGGCCCCGCCGGCGGCGCTGTTTGAGCTCATCGACGAGCCGGTTCAAGCTCCGGCCAGCGCATAAGAGCTCTAGCTCTGCAACTGCCTCCTCCTCGCTCTTGCCGGACGCCGTGCGGGCCAAGAGCTCGTCCCAGATCACCTTCCGGCGACAGAACTGCACCCTGATCCCGTTCCCCGGGCGCCAGCGGCTTCCCCACGTCTCTTCTAGCACCC